TATCGAATTCATAATGTTCCAAAGGTGACTTCTTTTTGACAAATTGCGTATTTCAAACAGCAGTGAGTATCCTGATAATATTAAATTATTCTTATGTGTTTGTAGCATACTAAAACTGTGCTTTATTTTCATAGTTATCTTTATTATTTCTTCCACGAAGATTCAGTCTGGGTGTACTTCAAACCGACATACCTCGGTGTTCTGCGATCAACGTAACCTTAATATAATACGTTTTGCAATGTGCAATCCAGTGTAATCTAACTTGACCTAACCCTAACTTATTATTATGTTTTCAACCTTTTTTCAATACGGGATCAGTCAAAAGTTCGGTTTAATTTTATGTAACATTTAACTCTGTTGTAAAAATAAATCGATCATCAATTAAATAATTGTCGTTATTAATCTTCCATCAATATTTTGACAACAGCTGAATATCGTAAAAAGTTGCCCGACTTACGTTGAAAATATACAAAATCAAACCGAACTTTTCGACTGGTCCGATAACAATTCAATAACTGTCCAATAACAAAATAAAAATACAAAAAACCCAATAATAAACCAAAAATATAAAAAAATACAAATTTTAAAATAACTTTTATTTAACGCACAATTTTTATGTGAAACTTTGCGTTAATAATTTTGCATAATTTAACGATTAATTATATTTTCGTGTTTTTATTATATTCCGTACTTTTCAATAGATATGTCGGTTTTGAAACCTCGTTTCTCAGACTTCAAATTTCGTTCACTTTATGAATAAAAGACATTCAACTCGGAAGCTAAAATAAATATTTATCCACACCGCGGAAAGCTGAAGGAAATAAAAAGGCATTCATTCAAAAGTTAGAAATAATGTTATATAAGCTACAATAACAAATGATGGGAGAAAATCTCTGGTGCGTATCTGTGACTATTAATTTTAATTTTAAACTTTCAGTTATGAGATAAGATCTCTAAAAACAAAATAGCATGTCGGTATTGGTGGTGCTTTCCTCTACTAACGCGATTATACATGATAATCATTGCGAAACGCGCCGTTATAACAACGCCCCAGGAGGCTATATCAATTTTCTACTGAAAGATAACGCACAATTTAAAGCATATTTCTCAAATATTTCAACCGGTTGTACCGAGCGCTTACCTCCTGTAAATACGACCATATTTCCGCGGATGCTCTCATTCTTTTATTCGAACCTAATTTTCTGCAAGACTGTTTTACCGTACGCACGCATATATTACGTTCTACTTCATTCGTTTTTTTCGTTTTTTGCACATTACAAGTTAAAACATCATTACGTTTACGGTATGTAGGTAGGTACTTTGCTATGTGGGGAGATATTTACGTGAATACATCGTGTACGAATTCGCATGCGCTGCTTAATCATTACGTTACGTATGGGAATATTATTTATAGTTAATATTTTTAGTTTAGGTAATTAGCGGTAAGGTACTAATACGAATACGTTCCTTTCTCCGTTTTATCTAGATTTGTTCTTTTTTTTTTTATCTTTTTGCTTTGATTACGGACGTCTATTTGGAGTTGATCGTCACTATTATGCATCTCTCCCACTGAGTTAGATTAACAAGGTTCCTTTTTTCTTTTTCCCCCTCGATTTACGTACTTGTTTATACGTATTCCAAAACCTTACCGCGCTAGCAAAAATTCTGTCTCGGTGCACGGTACAACAGATTTCATTTCTTTTTGTTCATATATATTTATATATAATAATATATACTTATTATTTTTAATAATATATAATATAATATTGTGTACAATATGATTTTACGTCATAATAGGCGTACTAAGCGATCCTTGCAATAGATCCTGACGTTAATTTAAAAGGAAAAAAAAGAAAGTACAAGAATTTCCTTTATATTACGTATATATATCTCAATCTCCTTAATACCTGCTCAAATTAAAAAAAGAGAAAACATTTACACATGTATATATACATATAAATATATAATTTACGTGCCTTTAGTTCTTCGTATTCTGCTTTCGAAGCATTTCAAATCAATAGCAAATAAAAACATTGCACTTCGATGCAAGGAATCTTCACATAATAACACTTTTTATAAGCATAATTAGAAATAACGATTTATGCTCAGCATAAAATTGGATAGAGAATTTTGCGACAAGATCTATGCATTGATCGCACTAACATGGAGAAAAAAAATAATTAGGTAATAATTTATATATCTCGAAGTTATTTCTTTCATGTTTACCTTCTTCTTTTTTTTACGAACTCTAAGTAAGTAATACCAACAACGGGTTCTATATCTATGGAAAGGTCTACCCTGACACCAAATTACGTATTTAATGTACTAAGAGTGTGATACTCGTCCGGTGGTGTGTTTCTCGTGTTTTCCCGTACGTATGTACGCACGTGTCTCCGTGTGTTTCATTTTTGCCGCGTTTCTGTGCTCGTTTTCATGAAAGTCAATCATGATAAGCGAAAATACCTGAAATTTTATCCGTAATCTTCAATAAAACGCCGACGAAGTTACTTTGAAGTTGTGCGTTAATAATCTATATAATTATCAATGATCGCCATAAAAATTATATATTGAGGAGTTTCTTTAGCAAATTGAATAATTCGTATCAATTCTGCAACACTTTAGATTAACTGCATCCTGTTCTAATGACGAATCATTTAAAATGTATCTTCATACACTCGTGTACATGTGTAATTTTGCTCATTAACACGGCAAGATGACCGAGATAATTATTCTTCGTCGAGATCTTGACCAAGTTCAGTCGCCAAGGTATATTGTACAGTGTTATTACTGTCCATTTCACGCACAGAAGCGATGTTAAGAAAGATATATGTTTGAATTCTAACATTTTGTGTCTTCGCGATTCGTTACCTCGATTTTTCATATGTGAATTCACCGTTTGCCTTTGCACGGCAATATTCACTTTTTCTTTTTTATCGTTCTTGCAAAGTTCGTGAATTCAACGATATTTTATTGCTCATGATAGGATAATACTTTTACTCACATTGGTAAAAAAATAAATACCCTAAATTTTTACAGTGTCGGATACAAAATAATTTACTATACTTCATTGATAAAAAATTTCATTTTCCGTTATCTGCCCGAATTGACGTATCGAAGTGACCAGAAATCAAACTGTACGCGCGTCCTTTCTTTTCCTTCCTTGATAAACTTACGAATATATATCTGTTCGTGCAAAGCCGAGCTACCGCACTGATTGGGAGCTGTTTTAAAAAAACTGATTATTCGGTAACATATTAAGTGCATTGTTATTATTGTATGTGTGTGTGTATGTGTGTGTACGTATGTGATCTTTATAAAGCCAGATCATACTCCAAGTAAGACAAAGAGTCACGTCAATTATTCTCGTTATATTCGTTTGAAACCCCACATAGGTGAAACTTACGGCAAATCGAATGACCAACGACTAATTCGCGCCAGAAAGGCCCGGGACTTCAACAAAGGCGTCACTGTGTGCGTGTATGTGTGATAACACCAAAGCATCTATCTAACTAAGTTCGAGAGAAGTGAACACCCACGAATACTGAATTCCTTCGACTAAACAGAAAGCGACTTAGGGGATAATGATCGTGTACATCGGTTATCTATATAATCGTAACGCAATATCCAAAGGGAGTATCGGATATACCCGAAGTCTGCAACCGCGCGAGAGATACGTTCGTTGTTCCAACGAGGGCGTTCGCGAATTTTACGCCCCTTCTAATACCCCTTAGCAGCCGTACGGAGGAAGCGGAAACATCTACGTGATACTGAGGATTAAACGCTTCTATAGTGCCGACGGTGTGTCGACACGACTGTCTCCCCTCCCCCCTCCCCCGTGTTTCTCTTTTCCCTCCGACGACGGCAATTCATCGTATAACCGCGGATCGGATCTAGCTAAGCTTCAATGCGCCGATTCGCACGTACGAAATGGGTTTTCAGCGACAGATCGAAGGCTAGCTACATCCTCGTTACGTTCCCGTCCCCGTCGTCTCGCGGCGCTGTAACGCCGCGGTTTCGCTTCTACACAGCACGGTCTAATTACTTGGCCCCCCCCCGGCCTTCTGCGGACGGGGGGGCACAATCAATTAATCGTAGTGTCGTCGCAGATAATTCAGTTGCTGCCGCTCGATACCGTGAATCCCTCAATTTGCGGCCATTTTAACTAGTCTACTCACCGGCCTGACGTAATTGCTGGCTCTCACCAAGTGGCAGTATCGCGCCAGTCGCAGTACGTTTCATAACTTTATAATCGCAATGGCTCGTTGTGTAGCACCCGATTAACAATATACATTATATGTTCTAGGAATCAGTCACAGGCGGAACCCCCCGGGGGTACGAGGCGCGGGCACCATGTCGCTTGTCGGG